TGTGTTTGTGACTTTAAGATAGTTCTGTAGGGTAGGTTGCCGAATCTCATTTGTTTTACAGCCATTATTTAAAGACACTGCCATAGTTGCCCATGCCACGACACCAGCCCGTCCTGGGATCATTTTGACTGGGAGCAGCTCTTGGTCCAGGGCTGCTGTGTTCCTTCCTCCCTGCCCGGTGGCACCTAGTACCTGCCGATGGGTGGGAGGGACGTCCTGCCCCCTTGCCTTTCCCAACTAGTACTACGGACGAGATGATAACAGACTGTAGAAGGTCTAGCTCGGTACCTGGCAGTGAGTCAGTCCCCGTGTTATCTGGGAAAGACTTTTAGATGGGGACAGGGCCCCTGGGCTTCAGTGCCTCCTGGGTCACTCACCAGCTCGACGACCTTTGACAAGTACCTCTCCCTGCTTCAACAGTTGGGTAATCTCTGGGGTGCCCTTCATCTCTCCGTCTTGGGAATCTAAAGTTGCAGGCATCGTGCACGACTCGGAGTCACATGACGCTGTGGGCGCTGCATTTTAGCACCTCCACAGGTGTGCAAAAAAACCCACTGGGATGCATGGAGAAAACGCCAGAACGTCAGTGTATGGTCATTTAAAAAAAAAAAAGTAAAACTTAACTAATTGATGCATGGATTGATAATAGACATGTACATGTCTCATAAAAATGTGTGTATGTGTATATGTACGTGGAAACACACAAATTCCGTGCTCCGTGTTTTTTGTGTGCCGGGCGCCCCTCCCTGTGGGTAGTGCGTGGCTATTTTAATGGCTGGAGCCCTGGTGTGGGAGTACAGCCTTGGCTCCAATCCATGACCTCGGGCAAGTCCCTTAATTTAGTCTCCATCTCTGAATGTGGCCGCTCCACAGCCAGGTATTTTAGGGAGATTATTTGACACGGACACACAAGTGGTGCAGCAGTTATAAGGAGTTCATGTTTCCAGCCTGGGCTTTTTTTTTTTTTTAATTCTGGCTGTTCAGGCTCAGATTATTTTAAGACAGTGCTTCTTTAGCCTCCTGGTGCAAACAGCACACGTTCAAATACGAGGGCTCCTGGCAGTGCACGCAAAGGAACTAAAAGATCCTGATTAGTACTAAAGTCAGCAAAAATCCCAACACAGCCCCATTCACGTCCCTCCGGCAGGATGTTACAGCGGTGGATCAAAGCAGCCACAGTTCTCGCCATTCACGTAGCTGCCAATCGACCCTGTCCACTGTTGGAATAACAGCCTTCCGCCTTCCCTGGGACTTCTTATCTTCTCAGGATAAGGCTGGTGAGCCTTCCAGAAAACACTGGATCTTCCTTGCAGAGAGCCGTGGTCCGTGTCACACCGAGTTTCTTGCACAACCCCCTCTAGCGAGTCATTCTAACCGACATTGACAGACCTTGTGTACAGCAGTATGCCTCCCCCATCTTGACAGAGTTAAGTTCTACCTAGTGGTGAATTGTTGGTCTCACCCCTGGGAAAGGCCCATGGCCCACCAGGTGAGACCCACCACTGGAAAGGACACCTGGGGCCCTAAGTAGCTCTGGAAGAGCTGAAGTCCCCTTTGATTCTGCTCTTTGTCTCCTCCCCAATCTGGGCCCTCAGCAGCTCCGGGCATCTCTACCTTGAAAACGTGCCCTGAAAGTGGCTCCCTCTGTCCCGCTCCTCAGCCACACCCGTGTCCTGGCCCCCTTCCTCGTTGGCCCTGCGCCATTCCGCCAACGCCAGCTGCCATGGGAACTTCCACACATGCAAACTGGATGGCTCACCTGCTTAGGAACTGCTACTGGTTTCCTTGTGCACCTGGAGCGTCATCCAAACGCCTACCTGGTTTTCTGTGTAGGGAGGGCGGCCCTGGATGACTTGGGCCCTGGCCGCTGGGTTTTTATTCTATTCCTCAGACATCACAGCTTGTTCTTACTTCTGGGCCTTAGCATGTGCTATTCCCTCTTTGGAATGTTCTCGATGTTGCCTGGCTCCTTTTCATCATTCAGTTCTCAGCTCACAGCGCCCCTTCTTCAGAGGGGCCTCCCCAGCCCCTTAACTCCCACACTCGCCCATGTCACCCCGTTTCCCCTCTTGACAGTGAGGACTGCAAGATACTCTTTTATTTACATGTTTACAGCCCCGCTCCACGCCCACCCACATTCACACTGCAAGTGTGCCCAGGAAGGCAGGGGCGTGGCCTTGTTTTCACTGCTCTGTCTGCAGGGCCCAGAGTGTGGGAAAATCAGTGGGTTCTGTCTGCAGGGCCCAGAAGAGTGTGGGAAAATTGATGGGTATGCAGGTAAGTCAATAGATGAGAGGGAAAGAGAAAGAAGGTAATGAATGAACCCTCTGGTCGCCATTGCAAGCCACGGATGAAGCCGTGCACCTGTTCCCCCTTCTGTCCAGCCATGTTGCTTGGTGCTGGTGCTGGATGGATGGTTAGAGCAACTCGGGAAGCTATGGAGGGGGCGGCTGTGCAGAGGCAGCGGCCGCGGGTGTTGAAGTATGTGCACTCTGTGTACCCGGGAGAACTGCAGGTCAGCTGGAAAGTGGGAGGCCTGCCTGGCGCCCCCAGGAGAACTCAGGTCTGTATCCTGCTCAGGCCAGGCAGCCAGGGACAGGCCACTGCCTGGGAGCTGGAAATGCATTGGTCCAGCCCATCCTGCTGTCTGTCTAGCAGCTGCTGGGCTGGCTGATCTGGGAAGCCAGGGTGATCCCCTCAAGTCCCAGGAGTGGAGGGAGCTGAGTCGAAGGCATGGTTGGTGTGGACCGACTGGGGGCCTGGGCTTCAGGGGAGGCATTGCTCCTGCCTTGGAGGAATGTTTTGTGGTCAGTGGGGCCAAGGGTAGAGGAATCTGGTTCCACAGGAGACTGGGAGAGGCACGGAGAGCTGTGAGGACTGCTCTGGTTTCCTTCGCTCTGCCAGGAAAGTGGGATGTGGCTTCCGGGGTGGGGTGGGGGTGTCCCGCCCAGGCCAGGCTGTGGGGAGTAGCTGTCCCGTCCTGTCCTCAGCAGCCTAATTTAGCCACTTCCTCAGAGCTGAGTCATGGTGCTTAGCAACACCCCTTCCCAAAGTCACAGCTCCCTTTGGCAGATCCCTTTCCGGTGGGCACTCAGGCCTCCTGAACTGCTCCCAGGACTGGCCTGGGCCGCCTGCTTGTACTTGAACTCCATGTTCCATTTGCTCACCGCCCTCCCCACCCCCAATTGTTCTGTTAGAAGCTTAGGGTGACGATGTCACTCAGGGGCCTAAAACAAGCCCGCCCGTGAGTGAGTTCTCGCCAGCCCTCAAGCCTGGCCTGCCTAGTCTGTGCTCTTAGCTCTAGGGTCCTGGAGACCCAGCCGTCGCCCCGTCCCCGGGACTGCTGGGTCCTGCGCCCTTCCTCGCTGGGCAGTGGGACCGGTTGGTGGCAATCTAGGCACCAACTCTCGGGACTTACTCATGCTGGATATTGAAGATGATTTGGATTTTCACAATCCACAAAGCCTCGTTCGCACCCACAGGGAGTGAATGAGACCACAGGCTGCAGGGAGCCTTGGCCAGGACTCGAGCTCTCGAGCTCTCGAGAGCTCTAGTCCTGAGGTGTTGGGCCATGTAGGGTCCTGGTAATTCCAGGGCTGGGTTTCCCTGCTGGCCTCTCTCACTGTGCTTTACAGCCCAGCCCACAAGGATGTGCTAGGGGGGTGGTGAGTGGGAGGTGGGGACCCTCCTGTCCTGTGGCCAGGACACCTAGTCCCTGTGGGTGGCCACTGGGGTCTGCATCACCCGTGCTGAGTCCTGGACAGCTGGGCCTGTGGTTTTCTTTTCTTTCGAACAAGCACTTAAGATGGGGAACCACAGGCCTCAAGTTGCTTCCTGAGTCTGGGGATTCCTGCCATAACGTGGAAACGCTTACGCAACTCTGGAAGTTCATGTCACTGTGTTCCCACAATGCTGACCCGTTACGCCCCCTCTCTGCCCCTCTCTCTCTCCCTCCCGCCTACCCTGCCTGCATCCCTCTTTGTTTTTGTTTACCTGGTGAATAAGTACAGGCTTTATTTTCACCTGTGTGTTCTCACTTCTGGGCAGCAGTTCTAAACCCACAATGTTACCCCCAGACATTTGGCATTTCTGGAGACAGTTTGGTTGTCACGCTGGAGGAGAGATGCTTTTGGCATCTAGTGGGTAGAGACCAAGGATGTTGCTAAACACCCTACCATGTGCAGGATAGTGTCAACAGTGTTGGAACCTGCTCAACAATTCTACAAGAGCTTTTTTGAGGCAGCAGCCAGCCTCCTCCTTTTTGTGTGACACCCCCCACCCCACACCCCAAGGGTTTGGTGGGAGCAGGAGCTGATGAGGGGGGAGGGAGAGCTGCCTGACTGCAGTGGGTCGTCTCAAGGCCTTCCAGGACAGCCCTCACCTGGCTCTGAGCCCAGCCCAGGTCACCTGTGTGGCAGGGCTGTCCTGGTGCCTGGCTCCCACGGCCCACCCTGGAGAACTTTGCTGGAGTGACAAGCAGTATGACTGCCTGGGGGTGGGCGGTGCTTGCTGGTGGGGGAGCCATGAGACTGGCCAGGAAGAGCGTGGGAGGGGGGTAGAGGACAGAGTTCAGGCTGGGAGCCCTGGAGCCGGGCTATAAGCTGAAGTGAAGCCAGCACCGTCATTGGGCTTGAGAAGGTGAAAGAGAGAAAGTAAAGGGTTGGGGGCGGGAGGCATTGGCCTTTCCTCGGGTGTTTGAGACTAATGGTGCCATGCACCGCTAGATGGGAATCAGTGGGGAACAGGCCCGTTGAAACCCTCTGGAAGCTCAGAGCCCGGTGGGCGATCACAGGCCAGCGGGAAGGATGGAACGGGATAACTGGTGCCTGCTAGGAGAGGGGGACATCCAGAGTGCTGGGCTCGGGAGGGGGGTGGCTGGCAGGACTTACTCCGGCTAAGGATGGTTTCCCAGAAGAAGTGATGTCTCAGCTGAGCCCTGAAGGATGTTGGGTGAGCCAGGTGACAGGGTGTTGCAGCAGAGGACTGCATGCGTCCACTCCTGGAGCCCAGGAGACAAGCTCAGGGGCTGGTGCAGAGCACAGGGGTGGGGAGCGGCAAGTAATGGCATGGAGTGGGCACGCGGGCACTGACTGCAGGACTGAGGGGTCTGCCCTGGGGAGTCCTAGAGGCGTTTGTTCTAGCTAAAAAATGAAGAATGAATTTGAGGGGGACAACGGGGGAGCAGGGAGACCTGTTGGGCTAATGTCAGGGGCAACGGTGGGATATGATGGCCTAGCTTGGGGCAGTAGCCGGGGGTGAGGAAGAAACTCTGGTGGGGCACCCACGAGTTGAGCTTTGCAATGGGAAGGGTGGGTCTGCAATGAGGGCGCTGTTAGCAGGACTGGTGGCCCAGTACCGCCCCTCACCTACCATACTTTGTTAAGTCTCCTCACCTTTCTCAGTCCTGTGCTGCTGGGTGTAGCACTTAGGGCAGATCCCTCCTGAGGGAAAGGGGCTGGTGTGGCTCTAACACTGAACTTCAGCTGGACCCCTGCCAGGAGCTGTGTGGGTGGCGCCGCAAGCTTTCAGGTGGCCCTCTGCTGTTCTTTGGTTCAGGTTAATTACCTGGAGGTCTGCAGATCCCAGCGGACCTAAGGTATCTAGGGTCTAGTCCTCGCCTCCCTGCACCTCTAATGATTATAGAAATTGGGAGAGCGTTTCCCAGTCTTGATCTCCTGGAGAAGTGGGGTACAGATCCTTGGCAAAGAGCTTGGGGCCCCATCATGGAGATATCGCAGGTGGGATCCTCATTTAAGGGACACCCAGCAAGGTCTGGAAGGCTGGGAGCTGGTTCTGTGGGTCCCAGCAGCCCCGCCCCAATTTTGGTTCAGAAAGAGAGTCGGGCCACCCACAGGTGGCGGTGCCAAGCACCATCTCTCTGGGGCCCACCCTGCCTCCTCTCTCCTGAGGACTGCGACTCAGGCGGAGGTGTCCTCTAGCTTCACAGGGATTGAGGTCAGAGAGCAGGAAGAACTTACAGCACGTCTCCAGACTAGCTGTTTAAAGGCGTCAAGTCATAGGCCCAGTCTCTCTCCTAGACTGCTTTGTGGAGTCACCTGTGCACCTCCATGTCCTTAAATGTGGTCATGTTTACTCTGGCTGGGGAGGCGGTGTGGAGGGCAGGGAGACATTGTCTTTAGAAGAACTCTCTCTCTCTCTCTCTCTCTCTCTCTCTCTCTCTCTCTCTCTCTCTCAAGTTTCAGGGAAAGTATGTACATCTGTGACTACTTGAACTGCAACCAGATTTGCAAAAAGCGCTCCCTTAACTGGAGAACCTGTGGATGAAGAAATAGTCAGGGTTATGAAACTGATTGTTGGCTCATTTCCCATTATTTAATTTTGGTAGGAGCTGGTTTTGAATGACAGCCCTTGGGCAGATGGGCTTTGGTGCTGCGAGGCCACAGCCTGGGCTAACCCGTTGCCTGTTCTTTCCTGCAGCCCTTTGAGCTCTTCCTTGTCGTCCTCTCCACCTGCCCGACTTCAGATCTGACTGGAGGGCCGGCCTCCCCTCCCGTCGGGCAAGATGCCCATCCTCAAGCAACTGGTATCCAGCTCGGTGCACTCCAAGCGCCGTTCCCGCGTGGACCTCACGGCCGAGATGATCAGTGCCCCGCTGGGTGACTTCCGCCACACCATGCACGTGGGCCGGGCAGGGGATGCCTTCGGGGACACCTCCTTCCTCAACAGCAAGGCTGGCGAGCTGGATGCTGAGTCCCTGGACCAGCAGGCCACCTCCTCCTCCTCCTCCAAACGCAGCCTCCTGTCCCGGAAGTTTCGGGGCAGCAAGCGGTCACAGTCGGTGACCAGGGGGGACCGGGAGCAGAGGGACATGCTGGGCTCCCTGCGGGACTCAGCCTTGTTCGTCAAGAATGCCATGTCCCTGCCGCAGCTGAACGAGAAGGAGGCCGCGGAGAAGGGCTCCGGCAAGCTGCCCAAGAGCCTGTCGTCCAGCCCTGTGAAGCAGGCGCATGCCGGGGAGGGTGACCGAGAGGCGGCGGGCGCGGAGGAGGTGCCCCGGCGAAATGGGGCTGCCGCCCTCAACTCCCGGGACCCCCTCCTTGAGGAACAGGCCTTCGGGGACCTGACGGATCTTCCTGTCGTGCCCAAGGCCAGCTTTGGGCTGAAGCATGCAGAGTCCATCATGTCGTTCCACATCGACCTTGGACCCTCCATGCTAGGCGACGTCCTCAGCATCATGGACAAAGAGGAATGGGAACCGGAGGAGGAGGATGGCGGTTACCATGGTGACGAGGACCCAGGCAGTCTCCCCCAGGATCCCCCTTCTTCGGGGGCAGCGGCCCTTCCCCTGGCCAGGCAGGAAGGCAAGGGTGGCCGGGACTCATCCCCACTGCCCTCACACGCGCCTCCACAGGACGAGGGGTGGGCCACGGTGGCCCCCAGCCCCGGCTCTGCCCGAAGTGTGGGCAGCCACACCACGAGGGACAGCAGCTCCCTGTCCAGCTGCACCTCGGGCGTCCTGGAGGAGCGCAGCCCTGCCTTCCGGGGGCCGGATAGGGCCCGGGTCACTCTCTCCAGGCAGCCGGACAAGGAGTTCTCCTTCATGGACGAGGAAGAGGAGGATGAGATCCGAGTGTGAGGCCGGAGGAGGTGGGGGCTCCGTGCTCTTGGCTTCATCTCCCTGCCCCCAGCCCACCGCCACTCTCCCCCTCCCATCCAGGGGCAGCCAAGAGCCTGGCTTCAGCCACAGACCCAGGACCTCATGGATGAGGGGCGTTGGCTGAGCCCGGGGGCCTGTGGAGGACTTGGGGGAGCTGGCCTGGGTGCCGACGGGTGCCTGACCTCCCCAGCTCTGTAGGATGGGGCTGTGTTTTCCCAGCAGGAATCAGTTTCCTTTCCTCCACCCTCGTCTCAAATGGATGCCAGATGTCAACCTGAGTTCCTGCCTCGCCTCAAGCATCAATAGCAGGTCAGCGCGGGGAGGGACAGCCTCCGTGCCAGGGCTAAGGACACTCAGCTCTCCTTTTCTCTCCTGGCATGTCTGCTGTGACTGGGGGTAAATGAGTTCGACAGGAAGAAGGGGGTGGTCCCACGTCCCCGCCCCTCCCGCCCCCCTGCCTGGCTCCTGCACCTGGAGCCCTTTGGAGTAAAGCTGGACCGAATGTGTACACTAAACGCGGCCCCTTCCGGGGAAGAGAACAGGATGGGGAGCGGAAGGAAGGCCCCTGGGCTTCTTGAATGTTCCAGACGGGGCTCTTCCAGGACGACACTAGGAACGGGCTGTAGCAGTTACTCGGCCCCTATGGGTTTGTTCTTTCTTGTTATGTTTAAATCCTTCTAGAGCAATATCAGGAACAGTGTTTGTAGGTCTGCCACCACAAGGAACGTCGAGAGCCTTTTACTAAATGCTTCCAAACTTTATGTAGAATTGTATGGGGTAGGTGTCTGGGTGTATGT